TTCATCAAAATAATATATTTTATAGCTCTTGTTTTTAGGGTACAATACCTTTACTAACTGTTCCAGAAAAACTTGAAAAAATGAATATTAAATGTAGTGATAATCGTGATCGACTTGTAACAAATCGTTTCAATCCAAACTATCGATTAACTGTAAGTTTATTAATAAGATTTAATGAGCAAGAAATAAAAAAAAGAGCTTAGTGATGAACGATTGGTTTTTCTCTTTATTCTTGATATAATATCAAAGAGATGTGATGATAGCTATAATTAATTTATGCAAAGTGTAAATATATTACAAATATTATCAATAGAATACGATGACCAAAAGTATGCAGAGTTGAAAGATCTTGTCATACAAGCCGAATATATAGACTATTTTTGATCGAGTTGCTTGAGACATGTCAAAGGCAATACTTATTTTCAAGAGATAAATATGTTAGTCATTCTAGTTTCTACTTCATTCTTAATATCTAATCATATATCTTGAACGCATAGACATGGTATTTGAATGTAAGAAATGCTATGCATAGTAAATGATATTACAGTTATGAGCAGCTCGATGTAAGACAAAGAGAAACCTAAAAGAAATCGTCTAGGAAAAACAAAGTAGAGTTTTTTTTCTATCAATTCTACAGTGAATTAGCATCATGGAAAGTTTGATTCTAAATATCACTGCGTCGAGAGCTGAGTGAAAGCTAACAGTCTTGAGAAAAGTTTTTTTTTGTTTATAGATAAAAATCATCATAATTTAAATTTTTGTGTATTTAAGAACTTAGTTGAAGATCCAAATATTCTTGCTATACTTTCTCAACATCCATCTATCAATATTGTGCTTTCAAAATCAAGTTTCCATCTATTAATTGACTTATTTTCAACGTCACCATCATTATCACCAATGACATTACCAATGTCGATTCGAGAATTTCAAATTGAAACATTAGATATGTCTACTTCTACTCCAAATAAGAAAAAAATAATTTTTTTTGATAAACCATTACGTCAACGTGATTATACCAAACGAGAATTAAATAGTAAATATTCTCAACGATCATTTCGTTCATTATTATTATCAACAACAGGAGGAAAACGAGAAACAACTGATAATCAATTTAATTATTCGAGTTTTAATAATAAAACAGAATTTCAAATAATTGAGATAAAAAATAAAACAAATGAAAACTCTTCAATTAAACAAACAGATGAAAAACAAGAAGAAAACAATAATTCAACAGATGATGAAGATGACGATGACGAAGATGCAATGATTATTAGTACAGGTAAATTTTTATTAACAAACAAACGATTCTGTTAGAAGATGAAGTAACCTATTCAGAAAACAAATATACCATGTTGTAAAGTAAGTCGAGACTCGTCGAATTGTCTATAGTAATTCTTACTTTTACAAGATTTTGAAGAAACTAGAATCAATTTACTGATCGACGACGATGTATTTAAAGCATGATCATTTTTTTTCTGTGGTATTTGTTTATACGAAATTATTTGATACGAACAAATTCGATTTTTCAATGATTTACCACTATTTTTCAGTAATGATGAGTCTCCGTATCTTCAATAGTGTCGACCATAGAACATATGACTGGACGATAAATTATCCACGAAGGACCACAATGATCATGCTTTGGATACATAATTGTCTATTAGTAAATTGACTCTAGTTTCTTCAAAGTCTTATAGAACTCTACAAGATGGTATATATTGTTTTCTGAATAGCTCACCTAATCCAATAAAATCCTTTAAAAAATATTATACAATAAAAATTATTTAGGTGGTGATATTGAAGAACAACAAAAATTATTTAATAAATCCAAACAAAAAATAATTCACTCAGCACCTATTCTTCAAGAACGAGACACGAGTAATTCAGACAATGCTACAGATAATAGTGAAAACAGACCAGGTTATTTGATTTCTAGAAAAAAAGTAAAAAAAAAATACAATTAAATAATTGTTCTAGTGCCTGTTATTAGTCGTGTTAAACTTGCAACACCTACTCAAGGTAATTATGAATATTGTTTATGGCAATTAGGTACACTTCAAATACTGATTCGTTCATCTTATCATGGATTTATTCGTCATATACTTCCTGATAATATATCTAATGATGAACTTATAACATGTTATGCCAAAGTTGAATATCAACCACAATTTGGTTTGGAACAAGTTACAGATAAAGAATATCGTATGATTTGGTTTGAATCTTATTTAAGACATGGAGCAAGTGTTCTTCTTGGTTAGTTAATTAATAAACTTTATTATTTCTTTTTACGAGAAAAAAAAAACGATGATTTTTAGGTCGAATAAATGCATTTACTCAACAATTGCTTAAAGTAGAAAAAATGACTTATGAAAATATCGATCAAAATCTTAAAGAATGTCAAATTGAGTAAGATATTTGAATGATTTTTATTTTGATTAAATTAAATATCTTCATTTAGTATGATAAAACCAATTACAAAAGTTTATGGATTATTATATGGTTTACAAAGGTATCGAGAAAATCTTTCCTTATTTAAAAGATGAACTTATATATATTTTTTTCTTTAGTTTGGAACCGAATAATTATTTATTATCATGTCCATTGAATGAAAATAAACTTTATCTTTATCAAACAATGTCGAAAGAATCAAATGAGTAAGAAGTTCGACTGATGAAAATATTGAACTTTTAGCAAACTAATCAATTGAACGCTTTCGTCTATGTTAACTATATTGTTCAAGTCTAGCGAGGCAAAGTTCTATGAGGTCTCAGTTGTCAAGCAAGATCATATCTTTGAATTCAAAAGTATGAGTTTGCTTGAAAACGAGAGCTCTGCTAGAAATACGCTAGAGTATTTACTTACTCACTAGATCCTATTAATTGAATATAGTTCTAGTTTAAAAGCGATTTGTCACTTAAGAATCTTCCGTCGTAAAATTGATTTAGTCATTAGATCAATCGCTCCACAATTTATTTCACTATAGAAATTTTCTATTCGATATTGCTAGTTGAGACAGTCTTTGTCGAATTCAACACTTGGATTACTTTCTACAGCTAATTAACAGATGATAATAAAAAAAATTTGTGAATTGTAGATATTTTAGATATCCTAATTATTAGATATGTCAATACAAATTTCCTATTGATAAATCTTCACTGTATCCAACTAAACGTTAGTTGCAGAATCCATTCGATTCTTTGAATATCATAAAAATAAAATTATTTTTAGTTTCATCTTAAAATATCGAGTTATGTGAGATAGCTAAGAGTTTGTCCTGATCTCATCAGGATCGAGATCATTTTTTTCTGATTAAAAATTTTATTTTGCTAATCTCGATTCTATTTCTATGCATTGAAATTTTGCAAAAATTTGTATAGTTTTGTGTTTTTGCATGATGTAAATCACAATATACATCAATTTAATAATTCATTTATTTGAACGAAAATTGGAAAATAATTATACAAATTTAGCTTTAACCTTACAAAAAAAGTATTCCAATGCTGCATGTAAAAAATAGCAGTCCTAGTCTTGGAGATCCGAAATATTGATACACTTTTCGAAGTGATACTGATTTCAGATCATTCATATAGAAATTATATGCATTCACGAACTACAAATTCCGTGAAAAATATGTCTCAGTCACATAATCAGAATCAAAGAAAAATATTTTAACTAGATAGGTTTTCTACATTTTCTACTTCTAATATATACATACAGTGGGTACCAAAATCATTCAACAAAGTTGATTTTCAATTTTTTCTATTGGCGTAAGAGTTAAAAAGGTTTCAAACAATGATTCAAATATAGAAAATTGTTTATGAAAAGACTATAAGGAAATAAAAATAACCATCAGTTTTTTAGAAATAGGAAATTCACAAAATCGACAAGCTAAGTTTTCGGCACATAGATTGAGTAAATTTAATTTTGTTTATATTACATAGAATGATTAGAGTAAACTATGTTCTGCCTAATGATTCACTTTATAAAGTAATATTTGTATAGCATGTATTTATATTCAAAGAATTATGCAGATTATTAGAAAAACAGTGGTTAGGTTTTGGAGACACGAAACGAGTTCTACTGAATCGATATTAGTGCCAATGGTACGTCTAAATTGAGACTCAGAGTAGAACTGATGAACAGTACTTTGCAGATCTCTACTCGAACAATATGAATAGTTATCACGGAATCTCTAGACAATACAACCTATGTGCAAAACTAAATTGCAGTTCTCCTAAACTCGAATTATATAAACCCAAATGACTTTATCATTTATATTTGTTTTTTTCTTTTTTTCAGAAAAACATTCGATCTTCATTCTGAACCATTTGAATCAAATGATCTTCTTGTTGAACCCGATCGTGTTTCTGTACCATGGATTCCTTTGACACCAGCTCTATTATTACCATATCATCTTGATTTCGAACGTATTCCATTAACATTTTGTCCACGAAATAAACGTATTTAATTTTCACTAGATAAATATATTTTATTAATTGAATCTTTTCTTTTTTTTTTGTTTTCTATTAAAGGTGTTTATGATATTGATATTACAATTCCAGCATATCGAAAACGTCGAAATATTGTTAAACAAGAAGAAAAAAAGAAAAGAAAAAAAGCAAAAAAGAAAAATGCTCAACGTAGAAAAAAGAAAAATACTGAACAGTCAAAAAAATAAATAAAATTTATTTTTTTTTTTTGTGAGAGATGTAGTGTTTTCTTTCCAGTGACATAATGATTACAAATTAACTACATTTCAGTTTGTTTTCATCTTTATTTAATATCTTTTGAATAAAAAGAGGACTTAAATGATCTCGTATACTACTTTCACTACTGATCAATTAATATGTCAAGAGATTGATAATAAATACTTATTCCATAGAGTAAATAACTTATGATATTGTCCTATTTAGAAAATTTCTTGTAGAAACTAATTATATTTTGGTTTCTTTCGTTTCTAGATAAAATTTATAGATAAATCAGATTAAGAAGAAAAAAAAATGGACGACTATTCAACAAAAATAAAGAATTCAGCTGAACATTTAATTCGAAATGAATTTCCTGAAAAAGCTCTTGAACTCGATAAACTTGTTTCGGTTTGTTCGTTTTATTAAAGTTTTAAACTATTTAATATATTTTTTTTTTATGTTTAGAGTCCAGTTTTATCATTTAGTGAAGTATCGAAAATTCGTACTGAAATTCAATTACCAACAGCTGATGATATTATAGCACATTTAAAAAATATCAAAAGTACAAATTTAACTGATGTAAGTTTTTATTAGTTATGAACTAAGAAGTAAAAAAAAAATGTAAACGAGTGGCCACTATCATTTTATTTTTATGTAGTTATTGACTTGATATTATTCCTGATATGCTCAATGAAATTATTGAAAATAATTTCTTTCATTCCTAATTTAACTTCTTGATGCTAGTCTTATAAAACTCAATTTATAATTGCCTTTTACTTTCAGAATATCGACCGTCTGAACAGTCTCAAGTCTGGATCTAGACAAGTTAGGGTCGCAAATGTATCTGACAGTCTCGACTTGTATGTTACATGGAAGATCGCATGACTTTCTTGCATTTAACCTATGATGAGTATGTGTGACACAAGTTAAGCAACCACAATAACATCTCAATGGCATGGATGCAAGAGTAATTAATATCACACGTCACATAGTGAAATAGAGATCATACATAAAAAATTAATCAAACTGGCCGAATTTTCAAAAAAATAGTTGAACGCAGTCAAATCTTAGATATAAAATGAAACTTCTTTTTTTTTTTCAAATCATAGAATGATCGTACAACAGTATAAGAAGCACAGAAAACACAATAATAGTCTTATCCAAGAACCGTTGTCTATATAGTGTTCTCCATCCCTAGTGGAGTTAGTTACTTCTATGTACTATAATTGTTTTATTCTATTCACGTAAAAAATTCGTTATTTTTCTGTACTGTAACCAAAATTTGTCTGTAGTAGTGTATCAATTCATACGAATATCATTTCTAATGTGACATCATTGGAGATCTGACAATCAAGTTTTAACTTATCGCCTACTGTTATCTAAGTGGAACTAGCGAAACCCAGTTTGAACGATCTCTGATAGGAAGTAAAAGATGTTTGTTTCAATATGTTTAGAAAGAAATTAATCAGAAAAACGAAAATCATAATAATTACATTGACATAAAGACTTTTCCGAGATTCAAAGCCGAATCATAAAAGTGAACATTAAAGAAACTTTCTCATATTTCTTCAATTATGTTAATACATATTTTAACTCATGAATCAGAGATAAATTTATTTTATTTTTATTCATTCAAGGATTATCATAATTCTGCATCAGCAGTTAATAATAATAATAATAATGTTGGTACAGTAAAAAAGCATAAAACCGATTCAAATGATGCTATGGATTCAAATGAATCATCGGCATATGAATTCAATGGTACGGTTCCATCAAATCGACTTATCTCAATTCTAGAAGATAAATTGAGACCGTACATTCTTCATTTTCTCGATAGTGTATGTAGCATGTATATATTTTCTTTTATTAAAAAATATAAATATTCTATCTAGGTTGCTATTATTAAATTATGGATACAATTAATGATACCAAAAGTTGAAGATGGAAATAATTTTGGTGTTAGCATTCAAGAAGTAAATTTTTCAACACAAAAATACTAATATTCGAGATTTTAATCCTATTTTCTCAAATAGGATTCATTGGCTGAAGTTCGAACAATAGAAACAGAAGTAACACAATATATTGATTTAACATGCAAATATTTAATATCTCGTGGAGAACTTATTAAAAAAGTTGTTAAATATCCTCATGTTGAAGATTATCATCGAAGTGTTCAATCCTTAGATGAAAAACAATTTGTTTCATTACGTTTCATTGCACTTGAACTTCGAAATCATTATGTAAATAAAGTTTTTTTTTTTTTTTGTCTTCTATTATTGAATTAAATTTTTGTTTCATTTTAGACAAGTGTTCATGATCTTTTGATGAAAAATTTAGAAAAAATTAAAACACCAAGAACCAATCAAATACATTCATTGTATTAGGATAGATATGTTCTTTTTGTTCAATAAAATTGTTATCGTTATTCATGATTGAAACTTCGTCACAAAGAAAAGAAAAATAATCTTATATCATAGATTACTTGATCAATTGATAAAAGATGAACTCATTTATTGTAGTGAAATCTATATAAGAGGTCTTCGAAAATCACATTATCCGGTTTTTTTGGTGGTTTTAAATCCTGAACCTTCCTTTGATAATCAAATGTGATATTTTCGAGAATCTCTTCCTAATTTTTGAAACAGTTTCTTGAGCACTTGAATAATCGATATTCTTTTGTTTCTTATTAGAATGAAGTGCAAGTTAGATAAAGGAAATGTGATTGAAATCATCGGATCTCATAAACTTAAAAAATCACGTTAATGTAATTACAAATAGAAGTACATGTTGAAGGTGATTCTATTAATTTTATTCTAAGTGAGATATTATAAGTTGATAGAATTTTTCTTGGCACCATCAGATTCGAAATGGATTTATTTTTTTAGAACAAACTTTTTTTTGAATTCTTCTTTTACAAGATAGAAGAAATCTCTGTAACATATCGTCGATGATTTAAAAAGATGATGACATTAAAAGTAACCATTACGTGGTCTGTAAGATTCTATGTTTCATTGGAGGAAAAGCATTGATATATGGTTACTACTTATAGAATTATCACTATTAAAAATTGAATATTTTGTGTATGATACAAGAAAGTGTATTCGATAATCAAAGATCGAACAATCTCGAGTTTGTATGATGTGAAAAGCAAGAAATTTTAATCGCAAAAGATGATAAGGACCAATCATTTTTATATAACTGTGTGTAGATATCTCAAAAAGTTTCTTGCTACAATGTATGTCATATAGTTCTATAAATTTCTATCAGATATTTATATGAATATCTTGGGCAGACTCATTTTTACTTTAATTACTACCATTTTTCAACGCCTTTAATTTTGTATAAGAAGGTCAATAATAGCAATGGTCAATAGGAGTAGAAAATTTGACAGAACTCTGAAAAATTGAATAATAAGATTTCACATAATGACATTCATGAAGATGACCTTTATCATAAAAGTGTTTGCATTTCTACAAAATGTTCTTTAACATCACAGCATCAACTTACATTAGCTCAGTTTCACGACATCTTACACTGATTGGAGAGTGTTAATTAAAGTCTTGGAAGAGGAAATATTTATCACTGAATCTTGTCTTATCTCTACAAGATTGAAAAACATAGAATCGTCAGAAATGTAAACACGAACGGAAGCTCCCAACTGATAAATCACTTTTCATTCACTACTATGTGTATTATTTAGACTTCAGATAGCTATAAATATCATGAGAAGAGTATATCTATTATTAGTATATTGATGCAGAAATATTGTTTTTCAAGACAAAGCGATGGTCATTCTCAGAAACATCAACAATACTGAGGTTCGAGTTCTGATTTGAAAATTTGCGCCAAGTAATGCAATATTGAGAATAGTTTACTAAGAAAGTTTCAGATCTTTTTCTTGTATCTATCTTAAGATATGGGTATAATAGTGTTTTTTTTTACAAAACCAACATAAATGACATAGATTCAATGGTTCTATCTCAAGATTAGAGTAAATTATAAGAGTTAAAACTTTTATAATAAATTGTTTTCGTTAATGTTTATTTTTGTGCAAAGTTTTAATCTATAACTCGAAACTCAGTCTTGCGAATGTTTCTGAAGGAGGTCACGGTTTTGACTTAAAAAAAAACAGAAACGCAATGTATTTGCATCAATAAGTTAAAATAATGCACACTCTTCTTAGGATATGTATAATGTTATAAGGGTCTAATTTATGCACATCATCTTGAATTAAAGGTGATTAATTATTTAGAGGACTTCCTTTGTATGAAATTTTAAATAAAACATGATAGGTTTCATTTATAACTCTATTAATATTTTAATATTATCTCGTTTCTTTTCTTCTTTTTAATTATCTAAATGATAAAAGAATAAGTTATGTTTAATGTCGACAAGTTTTAACGCATAAATAATAATGAATAATTTTTCTCTGGTATTTCAACATGTAGGATGATTTACATTTGTGCTTTCTCAATTATCAGAATGGTTTTCCACAAATGTAACAGTAATACTAATGAATAAAATGTCATTTATTGACAACAATAATCAAAAATGTCATATATCTAGAATTCTATTTAAATATGAAGGAAACATTTTGTTCTCTCATGCACGAAAAGAAGATACTATGTGAAAGTTTATTGAAAAAATAACAAAAAAAGCTAATCAGACGATAAATGCATTTATTGAAATTTTTAAACAAAACGTTCAACATTGTACATACAATGAAGTACTAGAAGAATTGTGTTAAATACTTCATAAAAACGTATTTTATTTCAAGATAAAATTATTAAACAGAAAATATTATCGATATTTAATTCACCGTTCTAATATTAATCAAATGAAAAGTTTTCGAAACTAAATAAAAAAAAAGAAATTTATATAATTTTTCCGCCGGCAAAGCAAAGTCAATAATACCGACAATAAGACTTGTCAAATATATTCATAACACTTGAACCATTTAAAATAAATATTTCATCCTAGCTACAATAAATACAAAAAATATCTAAACATTGCCATATCTTATAATCAAAATTTGAGTTATAACAATGCGATAAAATTGACCAAAATTTTCTCTTGCTGAAATATGCTTAATGTTTGTTTTATTAACTTTCAAACAAAAATAACTCTAAGACAAATGAATACATTTTTTGATAATGCCTAGATTAATTTTTATACAACTACAAATTGACTTGTTAACACATTTTTAAGGTCAAACAAAATAGTTTAGATGAAAAAACAATTATTTTCAGAAGTAGACCAATAACAAATTATGTGATTGACTAAGATTTCTTTTATTTTTTGATAATTTTTCTTGATTGATACCATTGATATTGAGACGTGCTGAATAAGACACTTCTATTACTTTTGTCCTTTCTCCACTACTCTTGCACGAGAATGGCCACCTATTTAGACATAAAAAGCTGTTATAAGAACGTTCTACTATTCAATATGGTGAGGACATTGTTCAGTTAACTTTTACTTGTTGTGATCCATTCATTAATAGATGCTATTTATATTGATGATGTTCACTGTAAGATAATAGCATGCCGAGATGTTTCTTATATAAGTCAACCAATCATTTCATTTGAATAATTCTATTAAGTTTCTCCGTCTTATGAGACTTCATAGAAGATAAAAAAAATTAATCATATAATGAAGATATATGCCATGATATGGTCTTCATTTGACTAGCCGCTCCAAATAAATATGGTAAATGTCTTAAAAATATGACAGAAAGAATCTATTCATCATGTATGTGTACGTCTGTTTTCTTTTTCATTAATTTTGTGAAGCTTCTCTTCTTTTCTTTTGATATTTGGGATGCATTGGTAAGAACTATAAGAAAGTACATAGTGCTATTGTATGATCTTCTAGCAAATCAAGGTTGATATTATTGTGATTATACACTAATGAAATAATAAACAGTAATATCTCGGTCTTAACGGATATACATTGAATTTCAAATTTTAAGCATGATGAAATCAATGACGACAATACGATTAGTATTCTGTGTTTTATCTAAAATAGAATAATTCATTAATATTCTTTATGTCAGCTTTGTAATAAATCTTTAGTAATACATAAAAATAAATCCATGTTAAAAAAATTAATAAATAGATTACCATAAATAGAGGCCGGCCCAAAAGTCACGCGATCGAGAAACAATCGAATATATCTGTTATAGCTCAAGCAAACAGACTGATTATTTTTCACCGCTATATTCACACATCGTATCCATAAGGACAAAGCTAGAGAAAACCTTCTTTAAGTACCGCTATTGACTTCAGCGAAAAAAATTTTACTTTTTTCATAGATAGAACAAAAACAATACACAGGATGGCGCAAAAGTCACTTTATCAAAAAAAGAACTGAATATCTCCATTACGGTTAGAACAAACGAGTTGATTCTTTTTTTATCAAACATAGAGACATGCCTAGAGACACCCTTTGTTAAGTTTATTGTTGTTTTTCTGTGTGAAAAAGTAAAATTTTTCTGTTCAGATCAATAGTAATACTTAACAAGAGATCTTTCTAGGCATGTCTTTATGATTGGTAAAAAAAATCAGCTCGTTTGCTCTAGCCGTAATGAAGATATTCAATGTTTCTTCGGCAGCATGACTTATGTATTCCGCTGCATATAATGTTTATATATTGTTTATATTAGAGACTTGATGCTCAACAAAACTTCGTGTGGGATGTGATGCGACAGAAAAACGGTCATATGAGATGTGTTACTTCTAAAAATCTCACGTTTCGTCTCATTTCATAGGACATTATATCCATCAAACGGCTTTCAAAACACTAAAACTTATTAATATATTTACATATTTGATTACCTATACAGAATATTATACCACTGACAGCAATCCAATAGTAGCGATGAATTTACTTAGTTTCTATACCGAAATCTTGAAGAAACTTGCTCTCTATATTTACTAATAGTAAACATAGTACTCGATTTTTCTGTAGCATTTAATTATACTTTACCTTATATCATAATAATACAATTTCTATAAGAGCTGTTTGTTATAATAGGTAACGATATAATTAGACTATATTGTATTCGATGAATACTTTCCTTTTTGCCCTTCTATTTGTGAGTATTGTTGTTCTCGTCTTTAACACCGACACGCACACCCATGCCCCGCATTCTCATAATAATAAATTTAACTGTAGTCTAATGACAACAATGAATAACCATATACAGAATAGAATGAAATTTTATTTTTGCTAAAATGATTGAAATAAATAATAACATCATCTGTAATAAAACAAATAGTTATATTTTTCTTTATTAAAATATTTATATAAATGACTGTATATTCCATGGAACGGATGGGTGACAACTAATGTAAATCTTTTATTAAATGTGTCATGCAATGGGATGAGAAAGAAGTTTTGGGAAATGATTCCTTTCCACGCGGAGCCTTGTTGCTCAAAAAATATATATAAATTTATATGATTAATTATCTTGCGTATTATAAGTTATTTCCTCCTTAGTGCATTGTAAATGAAGTATGTGTGTGGACAACAGAATAATATTCTATTAATATTATATTTCATCAAGCAACCATATGTTTTTATTTTGTCAGAAAAATGCCGTTCATACAAACATTTTATTTGAGACTACATATAACTAAAACGAAGATCAAATATTATTGCATGTTTTCTGTTAGAAAAAAAAGAAACTACTTTGATGTTCTATTTCGAGAGAGAAGTAGATCAGAGCTATTTTTTTGATACATTCTATCATACTTCTAGTTAATTCTATCGCAATTTATTTTCTTATATTCTGACAGACTAATTTGTTCGACATAAATAACATTCAAATAAAGATTTTATTCGGTTGATTCATAGGTAATCATATAGTTTTGTTTGTTTTTCTTATTTTGTTAAAATATGACAATTGTACTACTGATATCTTAACATATTTACAATAATCTTTTCTTTTTGTTTTGCACGTACATGTCTATATACTTGAGATAATGTTTACTAAAATCGAATACATTTTTAGAAAAATAAAAGCAATAATAATTGTTTATCGTCTATTTTAACAAATTAAAACGAAATAATAAGATATGAAAAAGTGTCTATTCACATTTCTTTTATTATTGACAATCATTTCAATTGGTGCAACGGTATTCGATTCTTTTCATTGTAAAGCAGCCACATGTCACGAATTTTATTATGTAAGTTATCGGATCTTTTTTTCAAAAGTAGCAATAAATATATGTATTGATATTATTATAGGGCTTAAAGAATTTTCCTCGTCAAAAAGATTATGTTAATGTATGTTATGATACTGTGCGTTCTATAGAAAACATATCAAAGACGTATGGTAAATGTTTTGATGAAAAAACAGCAAAATTTAATCCACCGTGTATTTGTAAGTGAAAGTTTTTCGTTTAAAAAAATAACAAAAACTCAATCACCTTTTTTTTTTTCTTACGGATAGACGCATTAGCAACAACGATGAAAAGATGTGTAAATGGATTGAGTGATGTATCAGAACATTCTGCTCGATATTATTGTGGTTATAGACTTATGCAAAATTGTGCTAAATATCTTGGTCTGGAGCGATTTCCGTATAATACCGAATATCAACGACCTGATGATAGTTGACTTTATAGAAGATCGAAACGAACGTGCAGTTTGTTCTTAGTTGTACTTTTAAGTTTTCTTTTTGACATGTAATAATATCGTAAAAAGAAGATTTACATTTGAAAATACAAGCACTTCTTTAAATTCAGCAATGAGAAACATACTGTTCCTCTGAATATTAATAGGTGAATAATATGTCAAAAAAAGACTTAAAAAGGTGAGTTTTTTGTGCCTTTCAAACTCACATGGTTTGATGATATCCTATGAACTTGTAAGTCTAAGATCGACTTTTGCTTTTTTGCTTATAATAAAATAGAGAATCATAAATAATATTCACGAAGAAAAACCTAACAAAAATAAGATATTGATTATTTATATAATTATCCTTATGTTGTTTTTATTTTGTCTGATCTTTTATCATGAATTATTTATATTGTTACATTTAAACTTAATGAAGAAAAAAAAAAGAGAGAACATTATGAGTATGTTTTATAATACCGGTTAGGCTCCAAATTAACAAATCGACGCACTGCTTTCTAGAAAATTGAAAAATTTTATCCTTATAAAAGAACATTCCCACGTGATTCTCTTTCCGTATTCTACTCAGATATAGGAGATTATTAGAGTAGCATAACATCCAAATAATTCCTTTTCGTATGCAGATTTAATCGAGATACAAGTTTCTGGTAGATTCTTCTAGAAGAGTTCCCGTTATCGGAAAAAAACTCAACTTTCGGAATTTCGATCTGAAACTTTCTATATATGAAGTTCTCTATTAGGCTATCTTAGGTCTAAAATTTCATCAGTTTTGGATCATGCATTGTCAAGATTTGGATTTTTCAATATACCGGGTGTCCAAAGATTTTTGCGACATTCTTTATTTCGCATTTATCTCGACTTGATAAAATGACAAGATCTTGATTTTTTTCTTAAAAGATGCGCCATGAAAAGCTCTACAAAGTTCGTGTAAACAAATCCCTATTGACTTTCTCTGATGGTTTTTCCATACTCAAAAGGAACTACCTAAATAATAGAGCTATTTTTCAGCATAATAATAATGTTTGCAAGACATCGTTGTTTTGCATATATCTCGACTTCATAAAATGAAAACGTCTTGATTTTTTTCAAAGATGCGCTGTTAAAAACTCTACACAATCTGTATGAACAAATCCCTATTGCAAAACGAAAAGCTCTTTCAAATATTTTTACTATGCTTAATACCGGGGACATAGCGCCACCATATAGGTTATTCGTATTAAGTATCGAAAAACCATTAGAACCAGTCAATAGAGATTTCTTTATAAGTTTTTGTAGAGTTTTTCACGGCGCATCTTTCAAGAAAAAATCAAGATTTTATCAATTTCTCAAGTCCAGATAAATTCGAAACAAAGAATGTCGCAAAACTCTTGGGACACCCGGTATACGCCTGAAACAAAATAGTTTTAGTCCGTATTTGACTTATATTGTCACTATAAAACAACATTTTCTTTAAACAAATTACATATTCTGAAAGCGCATGGAATTCTATATCACTCTGTATATTTATATTCTAACTTGCAACCTATTTGCTGCAAAATAAAACGAGTACAATGAAGGCACCCTCATCGTCAGATTCCTACAGATGTTTTTCCCCATCATCTTCTCAATTAATCTTTTAAATTTTTCATCACTATAGAAGTAGCTTTTTAAAAAAGTAAATATATATTCTGATAGAGCTTTTCAAGCTTTATCATCTTGTATATACATCTTTTGTTTTGGTTTTCACTATTGCAGAAAAAAATAAAATATATCAAAATGACCTGCATTTGAAAAGGATAGAAATTTTGCAATTTTTCGCTTTTTTTAAAGTTGTTCTTTGATATTATCTTTCTTGTAAAAATAAATTCCAATAAAAAAATTATACGCTCTTGTAGCGCTTGAAATTCTCTTTCATTCTATATATTTTTCTTACCGTCATGAATTGGTTTTTTAAAGAATAATTCAACTATTATGTAGGGAGGCTTCTCAAGAAATTCAAATGAAAATGCATTTTTCGGTTAACAAATAACTGTTTTCTCTGTTTATTTTAAAAAATGTGCTCTTGTGGTGTTTATCTTATCACTTGTTTTCTTTTTCATCTTTTATGGATGAGAAAAATTTTAGTCGGATACGTACACGTCTATAAATAGTATTACTAACAGGTGTATGAATTACATTCTCATTCATTTCTGTCTGTATTCGATACAATTAATACAGTAACAATGGATTACTCATTTAACTGTTGGTGAACGATGGCGAATTATTTCATTACGTTTTGATCAAGATATTAGCCCAAATCAGATAACTCGTATGATTAACTGTCCGCTTCAAAGTGTATTTAGTATATTATGTTTATATCGTGAAACTAATAATGTTCTTGAACGAGAAGGTCGCGGTCGTCTTAATGCTTTAAACGACGATGAGATTCGTGTATTAAGACAATTATTATACAGATATCCAAATCATACTTGGAACCGGACCGGCCAGTTGCCGGTCGGGTCCAGTCGAACTTTTAAAACCGGCCGGTTTTTACCAGTTTTTTTTAACTTTTAAAAATTTTTGGGGCACTACAACTTGCATATTTTGCTAGTTTTTAACGGTTTCTATGATTTCAATGATCAAGGGATATGAGCTTGGAAGTTTCCAACTGATAAATTTTCAATCATTGTCGAAATCCCAGCTCAAAATATTGGCTAACACTTTCCCATCCTAGAATGAGGACCTCGGAGCATGTTGAATGAATTTGTTTATGTTCACGAAAAATAAGCCAGATATTAGAAGCTAATATTGGTCTAAACTATAGATATTTCACCTCGAAATTTTGAGTTCACTTTTCTGGACTAATTTTACTCCACTCTCATAGAATCCCAATAGCTAGTAGTTTTCAGTTCATGCTTTCATAACAAAATATAAGAAAAGATTAAGTTCCGTTGTCAAGATCTTGTGGACTACGGTCATCATGTAATTGTCAAAATACTTAGATATTAAAAGACCTTAAATAGGAAGTCTAATATGAAAGCCATACGTTCAGGGCTGGCCCAAGTCAGCAAACATTGGGGGGTTGTTTCGGATATTTTTAATGCGAATAAAACTTTTTTCTAACACTAATCACGAAAAAAAAATTCATTTTTGCTGGGTAAAAACGAAAATTTTCGATTATTGGGGGGGTTGTCACAACCCCCAAAACCCCCTATCGGGCCAGCCCTGCATACGTTCTAGCTCACCTTATCTTTCTGTCTACAGTAGCATCCTTTTTTGCGAATTGAAATGCCTTTCAGCGGTGTTAAAATAATTATTTCAAATAAAAATAAATTAAACTTATCAATTGTAAAGAATTCATATCGTTATAGGAAAAAATCAGCCAAAACATGGTTAGATGTTGTTAAATATTAGTTGCTTGAGTTCTAAGTCAAACATTTTTGAAAGAAATGGTCGTTCCTTCTTATGTTAGGACATGAAACACGGCAAACTATAATACGAGCTGTTACTATTAGAAACTTCAAGAATTATGAGTTTGACATCGTATATCTTCGTCAAACTGAAGTAATAGACTGTTTCTCTAAAAGTACTGATTGGTTAATTGATGCATGAAATGCACCGGTTTTTTTACCGGTTAAATCAAGAATTTGGACCGACCGGTCCGGTCCGGTCTAAAAGAATCTGACCAGTTCCAAGTCTAGTGAGACCTAGTGACAGCCTTCTTCAAAACTTACTCTGGAAGAAACAAATGAACACTGGAACTTATGCTTGAATAGCAAGAAATCAATTTTATTTATGTAGTGTTATTGTTCTTTCTACCAGGACTCATTGTTTCTAATTTATAATAGCTATGTGATCAAAAACAAAAAAGTGGAACATATCCCATGTGATGAAAATCGCCAAAATATCGGCGATTTATCACGATTTATCATGCCGATTAATTGTGCGATTATATCGCGATAAAATCGGCAGCTTGGGCGATTTTTACCGATTTTTTGCCGATTTTTCCAAAAAAATCGCGATCATTCCGCGATTTTCCTCTAATCAAAAGCTAGTCCATTTCATTCTTGATCCTAGCATTTTACTATTTTTTCTTTCGTTTTTCATATTACGACTTCTAGCTTGCATAAAAACGACTTTCTTTACTTATATAATTGTTTATTTTTACAGATAATAAGAAGAGAATTAGTAAAATTTAAACCACAAAAAGCTGCACAGAAAACTTTTTTTATGGTACAAAGAAGCATAATACAATCAAAAGAAAAAGCAAACGAACAATAAGGCTTAAAGCAAAAAAAAAATAATATTTGCACAGTTCAAGTAACATTTATTATTTAATGTGTCCATCCGTTTCATGTTCACTCTTGTTGGTCATTATTCATTCAACTGGGATTCGGTTGTATTGAAGTACTTGTAATGGATTCATCTAAGACAACAAGAAAATAAAAGTCAGTGGGTACTCTATAAAATAAAAGTTTTCAATTTTACTTACTCCTTGCTGCTTATAACTTTAATGTTCTCCCTGGTTAGGACGATAACTGAGAATAAAATCGTGTGAGGCTGCCCAGTGATAAAGAGCCAGATTACATCTGGTTTTATGAGATTTTTATTGGGTTTTTCTACAACAAAATCTAAGTTATAATCGAATGAAACTTTCCAAATTACAAGTAACTCAATTTTTAAGCAAAACTAATTCTTCAAAATCAAGGATACTTTAGATTTTAATAAAAATTCTACTTGATTTCGAAAGGTGTTCTTCAATCCAAAATAATCCTCGAAATTCAATAAAATTTTGATTAAAATTCAATATAACTTGATTAAAATTTAAAGTATCCTTGATTTCAAAAATTATTTTTGATTAAAAATCAGATTATTTGTAATTTGGAAAATTTTAATCAATTATAATTTGGATTTTGTTGAAGAAGAGTCTGATAAAAATCTCACAAAATCAGATATAAGCTGACTTTTTCTCACTGGGTCGACAAACCATGGTCATGCACTTCGTGGAATAATTAAATTGTTGCCTAATAACATCTACAACAAACAAAATAACATGAAATTCGATACAACATTGTTTAGAAACGTTACTCATTACATACCATATATAGCTTGAATTCATGGGTCTTCATTCATCTTTTTAGAATCAACATTTTGTAAATCTCGTTTATCAATAATCAGTAAATCTATTAAATTAGAGCACATTTAACTGTATTTTCTTTTGTCCATATGTTATCAACAAGTAACGCTCGTCTGTGTGACTCGCTTGACCCTCGACTGCATATTAGGCCCTTTCCATTTTTTCTTCCGATCTACAGTCTTCAACACAGCTAGTATCCCATGTTCCAAAAGGGTGGCTATGTATGTGTACGCTGACATTGACGTCAATCTCATTGTGCATAATTGTATGCGGGTCCGGATGAACATTTTGTCACAAATGCATCCAATGAAATTGATACCCTCACCTTGACACTCAACAATAAATCGAAGGAACCACACTATGACGACGATAGCCATTTGTACCCAAAAAAGGAGCTTATTTTCAGCTTTCTGAGAGGTAATGAAGCAAAGCTCATTCGCGACACTTTCGTGAAAACGCGCCATACTCCTTAAAATTTCTACTATAAGTCCGTTCGCTTACTGCCACATCTGCCGATAATATTGTTTACTAGAGCGTCCGCTAGCAAAATAAGGCTTACTTGAACTTCTAGCTTACAATTAATCATTTTAGGTCTGGTCTATAATCGGACTGCCACATTTGAAAGAAGCTCCTACTCATATTAGCCATCAGACTAGATAGGTAATTTCAATATATTCATATACATTTCGACATTTGAATCAATATCAACAAGAAAGCATCCCACCAAGGAAACCCCCGTTTATTTCATTCAAATAGCATTCCGATAGAACGAATATAAATTCTATAAATAATGTTTTCCCTCAAATCTACTATTCAAATATCGCACACATGCAGAAAAGGCGTTCTCACACTTCATTTCAAAATATTTCTCAGTTCTTAGCAACTACTACTCCTTATTCAAACTTGTATGACCTAGACTCTTGATGTCTATTTGATGAATACCAGCCACTTGAAGCATTTCTTTAAGGGACTTTCTAGTACAGCGGCTAGTCGTGAGTCGGTGCCCCGCGGGGCGCCGACTCACGACTAGCCGCTGCTATGTTTCGTTCTATTTCTTCAGAGCACCATCGTTTTTTATTCACACTTCATCTAATCCCAAACTCGGCTTAATTCGAAAAACCATTAGATCTATAGCATGAGAATTCGCGATGGGGATTTCTAAACCAAAGCTTCGTTGTGAACTATTTCTAATTTCTTCAATTTCATTCTGCAGCTGAAAAATCAGAGTCTTATCGAAATACCTCATTAAGAAAATATTAGCGCAGTTTTCTCAAAAATGTCTGTTTCTACATTAAAAAAAAAATTTTCGAAAAAAAAATGTTTTCTTGACCTGCCACAAAAAATAAGAAAGTTCGTTTCTGAGTGGTCGGTTTTCGACCAATGAAACCTCGGCCAAAAACATGGGCTTCAGATTCGGATTCAGGGACCTCGATAACCGATAACAAAGTTCACTCAAAACGACCAAAAGTCTTAAAATAAGCTAACACTTTCTGGTACGTTTTTTTGACCTCAAGCAAACACAAAGAAACAAACGCATTTTATTCCGTATGACCCTCCCTTCAGTCGAAGGAATAGTGTAGATAGTGTACATACAGTGTACAAAATGTAAATACTGTAAATAGCGGGAAACAAGTCAAGCCCTCCTCCTGGTGGTGTTTCCTGGGTAATGCTAACGTGCCTCTGCACACCTTTCAGAATGCACACGACATACGATAATCGTACTTCGCGCAGAATCGGAAAAACCGTGCAATTTCCACGGGGTATTGCTACTATTAGATAACTATTCTTTATGTTTTCTGCTACTTTTCTTAAATGTTTAATCTAATGTAAATGAATTATAAGAAAAAGACAGATCATCTGTTATCGACAAAAAGTGTTCTTACATTGATAGAATTAAATCCACTTCATTGTTTAAGTGCATTTATTGTACATCGCGTATTGTCTTTTGTTAGATAAGTAGCCGAATTGTTCTCGGCTGTTTCATTCAACGGTTCTAACGGAAATATTTGTTTCTTTCATTGTCTGGTCCCGGATGAGTTAGCATGCCTTTGTGCTGCTTTCAACAGAAAAGCCGATATAAAGATGCTAGCAAGAACAATATATACATTAATAGCGTGTCAGAAAGGCTTCTGTGTGGTAAAACCGAAGTCTTGAGTGATTCAGAGATACATATGACTCATCAGAAATGAGACCGATTTGGTTTTTAACCAAACCGAATCGACCGAACCGAAATCGGTTCGGTTGGAAATTTTTAAAAATTCATTTGCTTACGTTCGGTGCGGTAAGAGATTTTTTTGTTTCAGAAAAAATGCTAATCGATGCCAGCCCGGTCTGGATCGGTTTAGAACGGTATCGGTACCAGTCTAAAAAAACACTACCGGCTGTAACATTGTACTATGCTATAACCGGTTCCTATCAATTTATCTAATAGCTTTCACAGGGGCATAAATCAGCTCCAAAGGCAGGGGACGTAGTTGAACTCAGGAAGGAGGAGGAGGCGTAGAGGATTTTCAACATAGAAAAATGCCCCAAATAGGGGTACTTTGTAGCTAAATTTCTAAATAACGAGAATGTTTCATAGGGAAATTTCGAGAGCAGGGGAGGGGAGTGCAGCGCCCCTTATCCCTCTATTTACGTCCCTGAATTTTTGTAGTCCACCAGACTCATCACGAATGCTAGCTGTTTATATAACAGGAGAAATGATTTATTTTTAATCACTCAACTCAAACCGTAATGCATACTATGCATCAAATAAAGAATTTAATCCACAACGTGCTATATAAATACATAACATTCCCAAACAAATACAACAAAAACATTTCTCATAATTCATTTTTTATCAGAAATCGTTTAGAATAGATTCTCAGGTCTAACCAGAATCGAACTTGTTAATAGACCACAAATAAACTTTACTGTATATTTTTTCGAATAATTAACAACTGTAAGTTTATATCGATAATTAACAAAACTCTATTACTAAATCTATACTTCTGCTAATGCAATATTTATTTGATATTTTCACATTTTACCTCAATACGGATGGTGCTAGCAACTTGTTTTCTCAACTTCTTCATTTTCTACTCATTTTTCAGTTTCAAAATGTCTTTTTTCATATCACATGATAGAAGATAAGTAGATACAAATACTATTCTCAACAGCTTTTTTTTCTTAACAAATAAACTTTATTTCAATTATTTTTTCATCAGTTGCATATTATTGTGTCATCGTTCTTATTTAAATTAACATATATTGTTGTTTCTCAATTGAATATAAAATAACTTTCCTGTCTATTTAAATATTTTTACTCTGTAGAAATTAATTTTATTTAAATAACAATTGAGAATAATAATCAAAAACGAATATCTATATGAAGAAAATAAATTTTCAAATATGTTCGACAGTAGAGTAATCTATTAAACAATGAAATGTATTAATTTTGAACAATTAATTCGTGTTGAATGTCTTTCAAAATTATGTGTCACTTTTGCTAGTAGTCGATGATCAGCAAGAAGATAAACCCTATTTGGTAAATGGGTTTTTGTATCAAGTAAAAATTCTTCAATATAATCTTCATGAGCCTCCTCCAGGCCAAGTTGAGTAAGATGATGATATTCAATAATTGATAAATTTTCGTTTTCATTAGCTGATTTGTGACATTGTTTATTCTTTTGTGCTTTACGGTTACTTACATTTAACTTTTTCAATAATGGAAATGATTGAGCAATTTGAAGAAAAAATTCATGCTCAAAAGGACGATCATCCAATAACGACACAGTCTGAACACATTTGAATAAACCACCTGGAAATTTATTTGTTATATCATTGTAATATTTCCATTTATATGGATATGAAAAAATAAGACATTGACTATATTTCCATTCTTCAAAATAATCAACACAAGAAATAACTTGATTATATTTAAAATCTTTGAATATTTGTTGAATATCTTCATTTGATGGTAAATTAGTTTTGTTAGGACCATAACTGATTGATTGTATATTAAATGTAAATGTGTTTAATTGTAACAGATAATCAATAATATTTGTCTTCAAATCATCACCATCAATAAATGTTTTTCTTTCACAAACAAACTGCAACTCAAGTTTTTCTAAATTGGTCATTCGATGTAGAAGTGGTAGAATTAAATCGTCATATCTATCTGTATATATATTACAGGACAACGAAAAGCATCTTAGTTTAGGTAGTTTTTCCTAGAAGAAATAATAAAATTAATTTACTTGAATTAATCAAATATTAATCGAAATAATTTACTTTATTATTTATTTTTCGACGTGTAGAAATGAATTTAAGATAAACATAAAGTGTATGAAGTTGATTAAAACGTCCATCAAGTAAATAAATACAATCAATATAATCCTGTAAATTGACATGTAATTCTAACAGAGTTGAAGAAAAAACAGTTGGAGGAAAAAGAGCATATGATAATTGTTGATAGCAATTTAATAAATATGGACCGAAATTTAAATATTGTAAATTGGTGAATGTATCACAGATAAGTTTAAATAGAAGTCTCATTGTTTCTGTTGAATTTACTACAGGACTTGCACCAAAACCGATAATAAGTGATGAAATCTGATTTTTATATCTAAGAATTAAAGTTTCCTCTAAATATAAATTGGAAAGTATTTATAAAAATAAAAAATTTTAAACATTTTTAATATTGATCAAATCATAGCATAGATTCTCTTAATCTTGTTTAAATAGATTGAATTTTTTAATTAAATACTTGTGTGTACATCAATATGCTTTTGTTTGTGCTTCCTTTTTCATCTTGTTTATCTAATTTTTTTTTTCTTCTTTCCTTTCTCTTTTACTTATTCTAATCTTCTCATTTTTCTTATTTTTATTTTGTGTATTAGTGCTTTCCCTCCTTTTTTTCTTCATTCTATGCTCTAGTCATTTTCTTTTCCTAAAGTAACTTATGGTATAGTATGATAACCTGTAATCAGATATATTTACTCCTAAAGATGTTGCTATACATTATTGAAAATTCTATTGTAAAATTTTAAATTCATCTCCATGTAAGCACTTCCGAATGTAACAATAAAAAGGAATATTCAAAAAAAAAATCTTCTAATCTGTGTCAACTAATTTTGTAACAAAAAAATTTATTCTTCTATATTTTTTCACTATTTATTCAATGTCATTAAAGAAATTTTTGTATCAAATAAACTAAATTATCTTACCAGAAAAGAGATATTCAGCTTCTTCTATGTGAAGTTCATACAAACCAAGCCCAATTAAATTTGGATAATATGTAGAACGAAGAATACGTCTCATAGATGATGTTTCAAGATTAAGCCATTGAATTTTATTATGAATTTGAGGTAAAATTTCTGAACAAAATCTATTAAGCATTCGAAAAGATAATGAATCGATACGATCATCCAAATGATACTTTAATAACGTTAATACACTAGTAAAAATTCGATCATGTACAATTTTATTTAATTGTTTATTAACACCTAATAAAGAGTAGAGTATTTCAACACCATCGAGTTTTTTAAAAATAATCATAAGAATTTCATCAGGTAAATCAGTTAATTGAATACTTGCATATTCCATATTCATTTTTGCGTCCATATTCTTATTAGCTTATAAATGTCAACACTTATATATACTCATATTTATTGTATTTCGCAGACGTCGTCAAAGAGAATAAGAATGAATATTTTTTTTTTCTGTTTGTATAGTCGAAATTGACAATGAATGAATGAAAGAATGACATTTTTTTTAATCTTTATTCTCGGTCAACATATCTGATATAATGATTATTTAGAAATATTGATTACTCTTTGTATTCTAATAAGAAAAGAATAGCAAAAAAAACTAGAACAATGATAATGACATCTTGAATTAATTTATTGAAATAAACTTTTCATATATGAGAAGATAATGATGTTTGCTTTTTTATGCAAATATAGTTGAATTTCGAGTCGAATATAGATAAAAAATACAAGATGAGTCATAAGAATTTTAAAGTTGAATATATATATTTTTGAAAACCTAAAATCTTTACTTAAATCTTTGTGATCTATATTGATATACTAGCTTTTGTCAAGCTATATACTTCAAATTGGAGGATTCTTCATACTTTGGTTGAAACCAGAATGTAGAAACTAAAATATGGAAATTAAAAATAGTGAAGCAAATTATGTCTACAGGAGATTGTTGAAAGTAAAATGTTTACCATGAGATGCTGAACGTGAATGTAAAAGCTTCTGAATATTCTGTTATTGAGAAATTTACAAAATCAAGCAGCGAGATTCGAATGAAATATTATTAATAATGAACCATTAAAGCATATTTTCCTTGACATCAGTCATTGAATTATCACATATCAAATTCAATTTAATGAAAACATTGTTAACATTTAAATATTTTGTTTTAATGATTATGGAAGATCAAAAATGTTGAATTGTATTTATGATGTTCAATTGAAGATAAGCTGTTTAGCTTTATCATTTTCTTGTTTTAATTGATTTTTCAATTATGAATCAGCACTTATCCAGTTTTTTGATTGATACTCGACATTAAATGATATCGAACACATATGAATAATTTGAACACTGTCTCTAATTCGATTACTTTTTTGTTTTGTCTATATTCTATCAAGTAAGTTCCTATGTAAAAAAAATACGGAAAAGAAATAAAATTATAATTGATTAATTTTTGATTAAAAATCGATTAAAATCATGTGCAATAGATTATAATCAATAAAACATTAATTTTTTTACTGTTAACCGATTAAATTTGATCATAATAGATTTTAAATAAAGTAATAATTGATGAAAAGATATATGATTTTACTTGATTAATAATGACTAAGAACCAATTAGGAATTGAGTATGAATCGAATCACAACCGATTAAAATCTCAAATAACTAAATAAAATCAATTTCGCATTAGGATGATTACTTCTTCAATTATTTTTTCTCAATTTGATTATTTTGTGGAGTGAAAATTAAAAATGTGAGTGTAAGTTTTAAGTTGAAGTTTTCAGGCTTCTCCCTCCCGACCTCTTAAAGATAACTCACCATTACAGACAGAGTTCCTCCATTATAGACGCCTTCCACCATTACAGGCATTAACAATTTAATTAAAAAAAAGCATAGTCTTCGCGCTTCTACTAAGTTTAGAGGTTTTCAAAGTCTTTGTCGAAACTTTAATAGTTCCAATTCGTTGTTGAATGTTTTAAATAGTTTGGCTTTGATTTTGGTGCAGAAAAATTTGTACATTTGAGATGTTAACAATGATAGGAAGTTATGCATCGATCTGCAATAACTAGTATATGATCACCATGAAAAAGCATGAAAAATAAACAAAATCAATCTTTTGAGTTGATGAAGATATATAGTAGTCGATTGATACTTGCTGTAAATACAATGGACATCTACAACAGTCGTATATGCCAGTTAAATAAACGATTGGAAGAATAATAATGTTAAATTAAGAAAAGAATAATATTAACTCAGGAAAATAATAATGCTAAATCAAAAGAAAAAAAATAAAATGCGAAAATGAAAAGTAACGAGCGGATAGCAACAATGCAAAATAAAAATAGGATGTCCGTATAAAAAAATAAAAAATTCTGTTCGAAATATACATATAAGAAAGATTCTTTTTTTGATAGCAGCGTATATTGGAAAATAGCTGTAGTCTACAGGAGGTTTTTTTTTGTACTTTATGCATTTTATGTTAGTTTAATTCACGTAAAGCACATACGTGAGTTCCATATTTTAGCTGCAAAGAGGCTGCGCTAACAAGCTTTTTTGAATCTATCTTACTTTCGAATGAAAGCAAACGAATAACTACAATCAACATTCTTAAACAATATGTCTGATCATATTCCTTCATTTGAGAAGGACAAAAAAACAATTTGTTTCAACAAAACAAATTTAAGTAAATTCGCTCATAAAGAGCTAAGAAAATAGCTGTAGCTGCAAATAATGCGCTTCAATAAAACGAATCTAAGTAAATTTCTTCTCGAGAAAGAAAAAAAAAACGAATGGAAAAAAAAAATTGTTTGAATAAAACAAATTTAAGTAAATGTTCCTTTCTAAAAAAAAAGAAAAATATTGTAAGAAAGAATTATACGAAATGAATTGTAATGGATCTATATCTTTTAAATAATTTTAAGTCTCTTCAAAGTTTTTAGCCTTTTATATACTGACTGTCCTATATTAAGCTATTATACAGATGAGAGTTCAGTATATCGATCTATTGATGAAGTACGATCACGTGATAAAAGAGACTATTCAACATTACGTCTTCGTAAATATAGGTATAAACATGGTTGTTGAAATGAAGAAAAAAAAGAAGAAAAATGGACTAAAGATTCACAAAAAATGATTTGTTCTTTTAAAAAAACCAATCCATTTTATTTATATGTATAAATATATTGTATTTATACTGGTACTTTTGGTACTTTTTCAAGTAGAAGTATTATACTTGTACTTACACTGTAAGCCTTTGGCTACCACCGCTATTTATAAATGACAGGAGTCTCATCTTTATGTGAACCAAAGTAATCATTCACATTATATAGTTTTTAGAAGCATTTGCATAGAAACAAACGTTAGGCACCATGCACTTTCAAAATTACTATTTTATTAAAGCACACTATAGAACCACTCCATAAAAAAATGAATAAATTTCCTAAAAAACCGTTTCTTCCTTTTCTTATGTCGGTAGTCAAAGGGTTAAGAAAAGTACTTGATATTTATACTTAATCTTCGAGATAAATACTTTTGTACTTATACTTAAGTATAAAAAACATCGGTACCGTGCACTTCAGCTTCAATTACGAAACAATGACGTTCAGACAATGAAAATATATGATTTACAAGTGATCTGCGGTGAACTTATCATCATATTAAAATGAAAACTTTCGTTAAAATATTCGAATAATTGCTTATTTTGTGATAAAATCATATCATATAGTAGTCATCAACTCATTAGAAAGAAGAAAGAAAAGAGAATATTAATTAGTACATCCTTAATGTATAGATTTTAACATTTTCAATATATTGAATCCATTTTAATTTGAAATTATCTATTTTTTTTTCAAATCGATGTTCATAACCAATTGATGTTAAAATAGTTTGAATTAAATCAGAATTATTTCCAGCTCCAATATAACATTTTGGAATTGGATCAGGATAGAGAGAATTTTCTTTTTTATTTTCAGTTTTTTGAAAATTATTAATAAATCATGTTTCATTTGATAAATTTTTTTTTGATTATATGTTGTTGTTTAATATTGATTGAATTTCTTCAGACATAATACTAATATAAGATATTTATTTATATTAAATAAAATAAATTTATTTTTTCTTTTATTTAAATAGACAAACAAACAAAAAAACAAAAGAAAAAAGAACTCATTAGAGTCACTCAACTTTACTTAAACGATTTATTTTATATATGTCTCAAATAAAAACACAAAATACTGTTTTTGTACTCAAGTATAAGTAAATAAGTATTTGTCTTGAAATATAAGTACAAGTACCAAGTACTTTTCTTAAAGTACAAATATAAGTATCAAGTACATTTTTTTAAGTGCAAGTGTTATACTTTTACTTGCGATAATTGTACTTGTCCTACCTGTTTATTAATTCAAGATGAATAGTATTACGTGTTTTGAAGACATACTCTACTTGACCATTGATAAAAAAAATGATTATTGTGCTACAAATAGAAACTTTTATTGAGATCATGTTTATATTAACTAAAAGAAAAGTTTATCTTTTGATTGAAAAAGTAAGTTTTTCCTAGTAGATCGTGCTAACATTTAGAATTACACTCTAGATAATAACGTTTAATTTGCTTGCGAATGATATTAAATTGTACAAATATTTTTTATGGCTTAAACTCTTCTATATTCATGAAGCATTTCTAGTAAGTGTTGTGTGTCACTTAAAATTTTTTTATTTATATTAACAAACGGCATTTTAGACATAGAATTATGAATTTTTAAAGTCGATGAGTCTCTTTTAAATCATTTTTCGTCTTCATATACAGTCAATTTATTAAAGGAGCTAATAGATTTATCAGCATCAATATGCTTGATTCGTTTTTGATGTAATACTCGAAAGTATAATAGACACAAGCTACTATAAGAAAGCAAATAAAGCTTACCGATATAACAAGAACAATAAAAAGAAACAAATGGAGATGGGCAGGGCATGTTGCTAGACAGTAGATGGATCAAACTTACCACAAAATGGCAAATAATAGACGGAAAAGAAAATCTGAAAGACAAATGACAAGATGGAAGGATGAAATTCATTCATTCTTGGGAAACGACTGGAGCACTCGAGTACAAGATAGAGAAATGTGGAAAAACATGGGAGAGACCTTCATCCAGCAGTGGACGGCACATGGTTGTTAAATGATGACGACGATGAATTGTTCGAAAGGAATTAGATATTTTTGAACCCGTTAATGCTGGTGATGTTCAAATTTCTTTGAAAATTGTCTAGTAGATGATCCAATATCAAAACATTGTCCTGTTGATGACATATAGCCATTTTTGTACCACCATTTATAACGAACTAATTAATCATATGGACAAAAGTCGC